AAACAAACGCTAAAAATTGCATTGAAACTCGGAGGTCGGTTGCCAGTTTGGGCATTTAAATATATTGCAATGTGTCAGCAAGAGAGGGGCAAGTGTTGAAGGGAGTGCTTAGGGGCGAGTGCCCTTAGCATTGCTCTTTGTACAAGTGTTTGTGAGCGGTTGTCCTTAGCACTGCTCAAAGAGTATGTTTGGCAATCGATTTAAGTTGTACGTAAATAATTTAAAATTATAAAATATAAATTTTATAAATAATGTGTAAAGAAGGGTGCCGAACTGCCGATCCAAGGTGTGTGGGTATCAGTGTACATAAACTAAACTATTTTAAAGTGCAAATGTGAATGAATTACTCTTATTAAAATGAACTTCTTCGGACTCCATTTATAGAAGCCGAACGGACGTGGTCAAATGTACCTTTTCAGTATATATGTATATATACATCTTTTAGCCAAACAGACACAAGTACATGGTACCATTTAGGTTCACATCTTCACGGAAAAGACATGGATTCATGGCCTTCTTTCCATTCAAGTGTTCTACCATGTCCATCAAATAGCATTTGAGCACGTCTGCTCATGGACCAAACCAACACCATTAGTTCCTTATGTAAATTTTTTGATTATGCAGTTAGATCATGCCTAGATGAATATCACACTTATTGATGCATTAATAAGACATGCCATCATTTGATAATTATATTATTTTTAGCCTTCTTAGCCTATAAAATGCGTTTAAAGTGTTCAATAATCTATTCGACCCTTCTAAACCATCTTCTAAAAGTAATACTAACAAACAACAGAGACTGCATTCCAAGATGTTTTCCAGATTATTAATGGGGAAAGGGTTGTGTCATATCTTTATACGAGGTCCTGGATTAGGACAGCAACTTGAATTAATAACCTTCCACCAAAAAAACCCTTAAATTAATAACCCAGCTCTCATATGCTTTGGCAGGTCGCCATGGTAATTAATAAATGGGAAAAAGGAACACTGGGCCTGTGGGCCAAAATGATTGGTACATGATGGTGGCGTCAACAATCGTGTCAATTAAACAGTGTGATCTTAAATTGATTCAGATGTCGGCTT